CGCTCCTGTAAATGATGTTCAAGACACTTCTCGAAGGGTCAATCGCTCTTCAGCCAGTTTTGTGTTCTTCTTCAGCGCCTCTATTCACGACCACCAGCCCCCGTTCGTGGCGGTGTCAACGAACCGCCGATCCCGGTTGGCCAAAGAAACGCCCGTGCCGCGGCGGTGTCGAAAAGAGGCGGACCATCCGGAAACAAACAAGCCATGGAGATGGTGGGAGTCGACGGCCATGGTTTCCTCGTGGTGTTTTGTGTGTGTGTTAGTTTTGTTATGTTTTGTTTAGTCCAATCCATTGAGATGTGGGGCCCCCAGGTTTTGGGTGATTGAAATGTAGGTCGTAGGTCCCACGCTCCTTGAATTACATTTGCCGAGTCCAGGGGTGTCGTTGGATGGCGAAGCTCTCCAAAGGCCGGTGTGGGTGTCGCCAGTGTGGGCCTTCCTGCTTCCAAGTAGTGTCCAAAGGCCGTTCCCAAGTGGGTTCCCAAAGTTTGCAACGTTGGGTCGGTCGCAGAAAAGGGTTTAGGGTTTTAGGGTTTAGGAGTTTAGGGTGTGGGTCCCAAAGTTTACCGGGAATACCGGGACCTCAATCATGACGATTGTGTCGATGTGGAGTTTCAGGCACTGAAGACGAGGTTCACGAAGTACTGAAACAGAATTCGGGCACGACACTGTTTGTAGTTGAAAACCAAGCCCTTCGCCCCGTTCGCCCACCGTTCCGTTGGTTCTGTGCCAAGGAAGGATCAACGACGTGGATATATCACCAGTCCCGGTCCTTAGATCGCCTTGAAAGAGCCGGCCCACCGTGTCCTTCACATTGGGCTAAGCGGTGGTGATCGTGGTGTATGTTGTTTGTTTTGTTTGCCAAACAGGTAGGAGTCCTGCCCAAATGCAGGCTTCATTCTTAGACAATGAACAACTATATGAAATCTTCAGAGATCTTGAGCTTCTGCTTCCGAATCTCACTTTGGGCTCAAGAGTGAGTTTGGTTTTGAAACAATCATTGTGTCGATGTGAGTGATGTACTGCTTTTCGGTGCTTCTCAGCCTTGCCTTTGTGGCAATACAAGTGGGACTTGATTGACATCAGCAAACAACATCTCCTTGAGCTGGGTGGTGGTTTGATTGTGTTTCCCATCTCTTTTTGCCTGGCATGCTAATGATCCGAAGGATGGTCACAGTACCAACCACCCAACACCTTCATTGCACCGAGACCATCAAACAAGTCACCGGGAAACGAAAAAACGAAGAAAGGGTACTACCAGGTGAAAATGGGAAGGATAGTACCCGACTGGGGAGTACCCTTAGACTGTCTACTACTTACTACCCATGGGGAAGACTATCCATGAACTACCCAGGATACTACTTACTCACCGACTACTGTCCTTTAGACATTTTTTAGACAGTTTCCATGTGAGTTTCCTCATTGGACGACTGGCTCACGGAGTGATAACTAACATCCTGTCCCTGAGTCGATGTCTTCCACGCTGTCGTGGTGTAAGTGTCGATGGATGTTGGTGCTTTCGAAGCGTAGATGTTTCGACTGTGGACGTTCGATCTGTACGTCGCTTTTGTCCGAGGTGGCGGAATTAGTTGATGCTGAGAGAAATTGGGCGAATCACGATGAATCATGTCGATAAAGGAGAGATACATCCTGATGTACTGTAATTATATACAACTTTGACGGTCCATGGCTTCAGATGGTTTGTGGGTTTCAACCGTCATATGTCCCACTTAAAGATCTATACAGTAAATAAACATAATATCATATAATATCTAATACAGGCCATTTGCAGTGAAGACAGAGATGCGACCCGGCATCAGTCATTTATCCCAAGTCTAGGGGCAATCGGCTGATCCCCCCACCCAGTAATAATCCACACAAAACCTTCCACCCGGCTTCTACTAGGGTCACTGAACATATAGGCTTGGAGTCTGGAGAAGGACCTAAGGATCCCTTTGCAAAGCAGTCTTGAGGACCAGTAACTGAAAGGTCAATGGCGGAAGGTCAATGACCAGTAGAAGATGGAATAAATATATATATATATGAAATAAGAACATGCATCTTTGGACCAATGGGCTAATAGCCATGCTATGCCATGCGACACAGATATTGATCTGAAAGGTGTCCTGCTTCAAAGCGTTTGGGGAAGACCCACAGATAGAAGGGAGCGGCAGTGTCTAGGGAAGAAATCTTGGCGCCGGAAAGACAGTCTTTGAAGTATTCTGCAGACCAAAACGCGAGACAAGACCTTGTTACGGCAAATCTGAATTGATGCCAAGCTTGGCTCCATTTCTGGGTTTGGAATGACAGAAAGACTGCCCGGAAGCAATCCAATGGATCAATCTGTGTCACATTTGCTGCGATATGCTGCGATGAGTGCTGCGATGTTTCCGACGAGAGGCATTTCGGATGAAAAGAGGCAACGGGCCGTAGTGGGCCAACGGTTCTTTTGGGGCAGATGACATATCCCAGGCAGATTATTCATGAAACATTCAGATGACCCAGTTGCTGAACCAGGCAGATAACCCGCAGGATGACCAGGTCGACTCGTTGGTCGTCGCTCGATTTGTTGTTCCGTTGGGAGTTCTACTCGTGGTCGTGGACGAACGTGAACACATTGGATGAACGGTGTGGGGATGTTGGGAGATATATCTTATAGATATATTGTAGATATAATATATACACCTGGAACCCATTTGACCTCTGTTTTGATAGGAACAGACCATATTTTGGGTGGTTGGTGGTCCAATATAGAGGTCATTCAGGTTCTAGGTATATATTCTAGACGTGTAGACGAGACTCCCGGCCCAGGCGGTTCTTTTTGATGGCTTGGGCCGATGTCCCGACCCAGGTTTGGGTCAGAACGCCCGGTTCGGTCTCAAGCTTTTTCGCACGCACAGATGGGATGAATGCAGCCTCAAACGTGGGTTCCTGACACCCCGTGATTTGTTGTGAATGTAAAGGATGACTAGAATCCACCCCCCCATGAGCAGTATAGGTAGAGATGCATGCCTATTTTACAGTAAAGACCTTGGCTAACGGCTAACCATCACCATGTGCTGAACTCATATAGAGAGAACACAGCTAATTCTTCAAGTTATAAGATTGCCAAGACCAGCTGAGATGGCTGGTGTGATTGGCGCTGCTGATAGGAGATCCCCCTTAGACATCAGAGGTGAGGCAAGGCATTGAGGATTCAAATATCTTTTTTGGTTTGATGACCGAGCCGACGCCGACGACGCATGAGGGTTGCATGCTTCAGCCTCTGGACGCATGGACGTCCACGGATCCACCTGGATGGATCACCCTGGGATCCTTAGCGACGTTGATGAGTGTCTCCAATCACCCTGGATAGGAGGAGATGTGGAGCCATAGGGTATATATTGTGATGTAGAATGTATGTGAATGTATGTATGTATGTGTCAAGGGATCGAGTACATGCGTCCGTGCCCATCGGTGGGTGGTATGCCTGCCCACCTCATATCACCACTGACACACACACACACACACTATACAATATGTTGATGGGTGCGCTACTGCGGTTTTCTACTAAGAGATTCCACAAGAAAACCTCCTGGATCTTTCCTGCAATCACGGTCACTGGAATCATCATGGACCATGGAAGTGGACAATGATTCCACTTGGATGATAAGTTTCCTTTGCAAACATGTGGTTTTTCACTTCCCATGCTGATTCCTCTCCGAGCTCCGAGCTCGACCCTGCAGGCCTTGCCAGACAGAGCTGCCCGGATCATTGGAGATGCTGCCTACGCCAACAGTGAGAAGGACGTACCCACCAGAACTCCGGGACGTTGGTCCTGCATCAGGGTGAGAGTATATCGGAAAGCCCACTAGATTACTAGATCATATAATATCATATACACATGATCAAACAAGATCAAACATGAACACATACAAACAATGTGATCATGTACATGTATGTGATCCAGGGGCTGTAAGCTTTGATCACATACAAACATGATCAAACATGTAAGCTGATTGCTTGGGGTGGCTGGGGATGGTGTTTTTTTCGTGTATTTGTTTTCCAAAGCTGCGGACACACCGACTGTGTGGCTTCCACAAGTCCTTGTGCCAAGGAAAAGCTGTTACAATCTACATCCTTCCTGCTTGGTCGATTTGACCTGTTTGGATCAGTCCTGTCAGACCGGGTCTCCTCTTGCGGATTCTCTTGGGTTCTCGGCGATATCTTTGTTATTCTTGAGAATGGGCATACACTCAGTCCGTGTTTTCCTCACGTGGCGCTCCACTCAGTCCATCCTCAAAGTACGTATCGGTTTTGGAGAAAAACCTGGAAAACAAAGATGGGAGGTGTTTTTTTCTGAGATTGTAGCTCCAATGATGTCAGACCCGGTATTAGTATGTAACAGTACGTATAATGTATATATATATATATTATGTATCCTACAATTGGCTTGAAGCAGTCTTTGGCAGAAAGGCAGCATAGCTAAGTTTAAAGCAGATTATACTGGTCTTTGTTCCTGTTGTTCGTTAACAGAGCTTGGCCAACGGACCGATTCTCATCGATTCCTTGTTCTGCGCAGAAGAATGAAGCTGGCGAGTGGAAGGCTTCCAACACCGATTAACAACCTATTTCAGAAAATCCCATCATGTTTCAGAGGTCGGACGTTCTGACACTCCGAATGCAGGGTCGGTTTTCATTCACCCTTGGCGGAACCACGCAGAACCACGCAGAACGCCGCGCCACCGGTCTGGCTCAAGTTGCGCCCCTCGTGACGCGCCCCCACGTACCACCGAGATCTCGGCGGCGGCGCCCATTCGTCAACGAGCGTTTTCAGCCGGAGCGCTCAGGGGATGGAGCT